GAAATGGATTTACCGTCAAACCACGTAGGAATCTTGCATCTTATAAATTGCATTACCAGTGTCCTATAAACTGATGTGGAACAATCATGTTTACGGAACAGAATGTACAAAATAATCCTACGTTTATTTTTTCGAAAGAAAGGTCTTATTTCTCTCTGCATTAAAGGTAATACAAAGTTTTGGGGAATTTTGAAAATTGGGTGGATAGTGATTCTTTACAATTTTGATATATTTGGATGCCCCTGTGGATGTATTATAAGCGTTAGAAAATTTAGCCCCTATAACACTTCTGCTTTCGAGAAAAATTGAATAAAAAATTTACCGGTGCTCCCGGTAAATTTTTAAATTTCAAATAGCGCCTACGGCCATAGAATGGTAGCTGCGACCCTGAAAATCTCAGAATATGTAGTTGAGATATATAATTACCAAACAGGAATAGCTAATCGGTCGATTTTAGTCAAAAAACATTCTTTTATAGCATAATTAACATCTTGACCTTGAGAGGGAGTGATACAACATAAAGAGTTTATTATTTACAATTTCATAACTTTAGACTCGATTTCAACCGCGACAACGATCACTGAATATTGTAGGATCATATATGCTTCCAATATGTTCATTTGAACCAAATTCATGACCCCATACCAAAACTTTGTATTACCTTTAATATCTTTCGTTTTTAAGATTCAATTTAGGAGGATAACAGTGATTACGAAGTGGGGGATGGAGGGGGGATGTATATACTTTTATTAATCAATCTGGAGGTACACCTTGTTGTCATGTTTTGCGCGGCATAACATGGATGGTGCAAAATTTAGGTATTACAGACCACATACAGTTATGATAATATTTGTATAATAATATTTGTAAGATAATACTTGTATAACAACATTTGTAATCAAATCTATTTCCGCTTACGACGCGTTATCAGAATTGTTAAAGGGCGTTCAAACCAGTTGACAAAAGTTCATTTATGTGAAAGGGGGGGATAAGATTTACAGAATGGTGAAAGTTTGAGATGTGAGATCATTAAATGAGTGAGAATCTCATATTATGGTAATTTGGCCCGTGGATTGTGACGTAGAAACGGACAACTCACCCGTAGTGTACAAACGTATACTTACTTTCTTTTTTTTCCTCCAAAGTGCCTCTCTCTCGGGGCACTACTCAAAACAAAGGCCTATAATGGATAGCAAATTTTTGTAGGTCCTCTAAAGAGGAAGAAAGAAAAAAAACCTGAGTTATACATTTTTGTTTAAATACAATTTTAGTCATTTTGTCGATGGAAACAAATGGGAAAGTTGTCAGCCATTACTTCACAGAGACATTACCGATTCAGCCAGTTGAAGTGCTTATACCTATAGTGATTGCAGCTTTGAAGTAGTAATAACTTTACATTTTATTCCAATTTCATTCAAACTTTCACCAGTCTGCTTTTCTGATTTTTCTACTTCCTTCTAGAATAGTTTGTTATCAAGGTTGGATTTCCATTTAGGTATCGCACTCTATTGTGTGGTTTTTCATTTTTGTTTCCTTCTCCCTTTCAGTCATGTGGTATTTTGGGAAAATGTGTAATTCACCTGAAAATTTAACGAATTTAGGCACCCCCCCCCCCCCCCCATTTATGAATTGACTCATTTAGCCATGAGATAACCCTTTGTGCCAGCAACAATCCGTTTCGTATACATCTAAATGACACACGAAATAGTGAACCATGCAAAGCAGACATCGCATACAATAATGGTAATGGTGTAATACATGCAGCAATAGAACGCTCGCCCTATCCATAGGATTTATTGCAACACCAATTGAAATCGTTTCAGCATTTCCTAATCTCGCATCTCAATAAGTGTTGCATTTGCTACATTGTCCATTTATGATAATAACAATTATAATGATAATAATGATAATGATATTAACATAATAATTATTTTTATAATAATACTGATATATGAGATTTGTAAGCCGAATTCACTTGAAAGTAAATGCTCAAGGCGCACTTGTGTAATAAAAACCACAAAAAGAGATCACTTAAAAGCGTCAGCATTAAAAACCAGAGAACAGAATTAAGATAGAACATACAAAAATGACATAATTAATTACATGCCGAATTAGACGATTACATTTTAAGATTAAATTTAAACACTACTATTACGATTCTCTCGAGGGAGATCATTCCTCAGCGAAAACCCTGCATGAGTAAATGTGTATTCCCCCACTTAGAATGGAGCTATTAGGAAGAATAAGAAATCCGGAGCTTTGAGAGTGGGTTAAGATTTGAAAATGTAATGATTCATCAATGAAAAGCAGAGACATGGACACAATGAAATAAGATCGAAACTATTTTTTAAACAATGCGTTCAATGTAAGGGGGAAAAAAGGGCCTTGAATCATGAAAATGATATGAAGGTTTTTGTTTTAAATTGTAAACGAAATAGTGAATGCAGACATCTACTACGCTGCCAATTATTGAACGCTGTATATCCATAGGATTTATTGCAACACCATTCGAAATCGTTTCAGCATTTCCCAAATTTCCCAAAAGAACAAAGGTGCTTTCCCGCACTTGGTATTAGGAAGCTTAGGACGAACAAGAAATCCGGAGATTTGGGAGCGTAAAGATTTGAGAATGCAATGATTCATCAATGAAAATAATAATGTACTGCATGGGGAGCAGAGCCATGGAAACAATAAAATAAAAGCAAACCATTTGGAAAACAATGCGGTTAATGATGGCCAAAAGAAAGGGCCTTGAAACATGAAAATGCTTTGAAGGTGTTATTTTATAAATTTTGTTATGGCAAACGAAATAGTGAATGCAGAGATTGATAATGGTGTAATACAGAAATATCGAATTTCTAAAAAATTTCCTTTTCATCAATGAAAGTCATATTTTACTGCGTAGCAGAGCCATGGAAACAACGAAATAAGAGCAAAACAATTTTGAAAACATTGAGTTCCATGATGGGACAAAAGAAAAGGCCTTGAAACGTGAAAATGATATGATGGTTTTATTATTTTTTATTTTAAAGACCCCATAATGTGTCATACTTGTTCTCTAAGTCAGTGCCCATCCCCCCACCCCTCCCCTGTGACAAAGCGACCCTAAATATTTAGCCACACGGTATACCCATGGACCTACTACGCCGCTGAACTATCCAAGGGATCGCATCAACATGTTCCCAGTGCGAAAGTGAAAGTTTTTTTTTGCCAACTTGTTAAATATCGGATTACAGATGGGATTGTATTTCAGAGTGACGTGTTTTCCCCTCGACTTGAATCAGGAATCCCCATATTTCTATCATGTAAAATAAGAAAAAAACGAAGAAGATACCCCCCCCCCCCCAAAAAAAAACAAAAAAAAAAAAGTCTGTGTAACCGATACCATCATGAGAGTCAAGAGAGGTATATATTCAATTTCATGTGACTTTTTGTTTCTTCTGTTGCCGGCTTGTTGAGAGAGAGAGAGAGAGAGAGAGAGAGAGAGGAGGGGGGAGAGAAGAGGGAGAGAGAGAAAATGAGAAGGTTAGGGAAGGGTAAGAGGAGTGTATAAGAAGAACAGCAGACACAAATACCAGTGGTTAAACACTACCAAAGAAAGTGATCCTTCGCATTTTCTCCATCAAGTAATACCACTATTGCCCCCCCCCCCCCCGCCCGCCCCCTACCCTCTCCCGACTTGACCCAACCCACCTGCACACAAGCTCTTCTTTATTCTATTCATTAATCAAATTCATTATGTTCACGTTTTTCATGAAATGTTGATGTAAAATGATTGTGAGTGACATTTTCCTAACTCGTGTTTTATTGACAATACGAAAACACGTGACACATTTCTCATGTAGATAATGATCTCTTCCTAACATGAAATCATTCGCGAGCACGCCATGACCTCGAGGGAGGAGCCAATGTTATGTGTCTCCAGGGCATGTGCCCTGGTGTCTCTGTCTCTGTATTGATTACAGCAGGAAACAGAAAAACCTGTTAACCCTTATTTTCTGCAAATTAATTTTTGAGTCTGTCCTTCCGTTTGCTTTATTGATGCCAATGAATTCATGAGAATTCATTAACAAAGTTAACCTATGTTATTGGAGAATGGTGTCTGCGTGTCTGTGTGTGTAAAGGGGAGTGTCATTCGATTCATAAAGCCCACTTAATTAGAAAAAAGGGGAAAATAAGGTCCAGCGGGACTGCACTACTTGTAGCTACTTGCGCCCTCTATATAGCCAACAATACCTAAGCGGTACCCATTGGTCCCCCATGGTCCCCTTTTTCTTATGTTATTTGAGAGCTGATTTGATGAGATAACCACCTGTCAGTGACCATGCAGGGACGTCTAATCCCTCCTGGCTAAACTAGGGCAGACAGGCTTAATATATTGAAGCGATCATCGTTCTTTCTGTGCTTTAACCTACGTTTTATCTATAGTTTGAGAAAGAATATTCCACAATACAAGCAATATCATTCTTCTTTTTGACAAAAACATGTTAGAATCTGTCAGTTTTAAAGTCGCAAAGTTCGCGAGAAACAAACGCAGAACTTAATTCAACTCTATTCAATCCAATGTAGTTTATTAAACATACAAGGAAGTAGTTTACGATGTGAAAATGGTCCTAAAATAGGATAATAATAATAATAATAGCTCGTTCTTATATCGCGCTTTTCAGGACCGGAGGCCCTCACAAAGCGCTTTACAGATAAGTACATTATTACCCCGGTAATTGGATTCAGGCTTACCCGCACACAATGTATGCACATTCTCCGCTCCCTGGGGAGCATTCCAGCCAGGCGTCATTTTTACATGCGCAGGATCCCCGATTAAAGTACATAATCATTCAAATCACATTTTAATACAAGTCTAAAGCTTCTGGAAACAAATCGTTCATCATTATGCGAAACAGAAGCAAAAGATCACTTGAATGTATTGGCTGAATTTCTCTTTTCATCAAAATCAGGTTTATGTTTATCTTTATCTCTCTGTTTTTGTTTTTTTTACAGAAGAGAAAGAAACGGCACCTCTTACTACCAAGGTCGTGGAACCATCACCCGGTATCAAGTATACTGACATAATGGGCAGTAACGAGGCTCGTAAGTACATCATTCCTTTTTAGATATCTGACGGAGAAAGTTGGGCTTACTTTGCATTCATATTTTATATTTATTTAATTACTTCCTGTTCCGTGGGATTACTAATCATTTAATAAAATGAAAAAGTATACAAAATGCTCATTCCTCATGACGTAACGTCAGGGGCTTTACTTTATTTAATATATCAAAAAGTTTGAATTTTGCTCCGTTGCGCAAGTTGTCATGCAATATTTTTAACTTGTAAGGTACACATGATTTATTATTATATGAGCGAAACAAACGTTTTGCAATTCATTGATAAGAGGGTGTTTTCTTTATAGTTAGCTTTGTTTTCCATATTGTTTATGTATCTATAAACAAATCGACTGTTTGTTTTGAGAGGCTTGTAATATATATTGGCTCTTAACACTCAAATATCATCACTTCTTACAATGATAATATGAAACGTGATACAAAATGATTAAATTGATTTTCTTTGTATTTGAAATGAATATCTGTTTTATTCGTCTTGTTTTATTTTATTCAGAAATAATTGAAAAAACTGAGCATCCGGGAGAGTGCTACAGCAGACGAGATATAATCCTTACTGCCTTTGGTGCCGTAAGTTATACTTAGTTCTTCTTCTTCTTCTTCTTCTTCTTCTTCTTCTTTCTTCTTCTTCTTCTTCTACTCTTCTCCTCCTTTTCATTTTCTCCTTCTTCTTCTACTTTCATCCTCCTCCTCCTCCTTCTTCTTATTAAATACGTTTGACCTCTAATAAGGGGAAGGGTCGATCCGGGAAGGGGGGGGGGGGTTAGTTGTCGGCAGAAAGTCGACATTCTTGATTTTTTAGTACGACGTATTGTCCGAGGTGTTTTAGCCCGGGCATACTCTCTCTTATACGCATAGTTAATGATTGATTGACTGATTTATTCATTTATTCATTTATTCATTTATTCATTTATTTCTTCATTTATTTCTTCAATTTTTTTTTAAATTCATTTATTTATTTAGATAATTATTCATTTACTTATATATTAACTACTCAAATAATTAAAACAATTATTGATTTATTTATTTATTCATTCATTCATTCATACGTTTATAAATTTATTGATTAAATCAATATTTAATTCATTTTTTTCCAAACACCCTGATAATTGAATTTCACAGGAGTCCACTTTCAGCAAAAAGCACAGATGAATGTATTAGACGAATCTTTTACAAGATTACCGACATATTATTAATCTTTTCACTTCTTGTCACAGTCTATTGCAGTGGTTATAGTCGTGGCCGTCATCTGGATGATTCGTAAGGTTCGAAAACGATGCCAAAAAAGGAAATTCGATGACCATGAGGGCTACCTGCCAGGTTTACCGATGGGTCACTCACAACCAGTCGTAGGCAACGGGTACGCTGTCACCGGTGATTCGGATGACGACTCGACAGGAGATTCCAGAGCGTAGTCGATGTCGGTTTAACTCTATCAATCGACGGTTGATCAGGAACTATTCTTAACTCTTTAAATACCTCGGTCATGACGATGTGCTGTAACATGTTAACATCTATGGCATACAGGGATTTTTGTGACAATGGTCGGTTAGGTGACGAGGAGTACCTACATACTACTGCCAAGGGGCTAGTCCAGAAGTTGCAAAGGGGATCTACGGCCATATAAAATCGTTGGACTGTAGGATCTTTGGTAACAAATGTTTTAACAGACGACCGTATATCCAGTCATTGCTTGTCCTAAAACGGCAACGCCGATTACAACCCTGAGAAATTATGGCCACATATAGAGTGGTGAAGTGTGACGTCATAAAAATCTATTTTTAGAATTTCTCAATTTTTTCTTCATTTTCCGAAAGAAATTCTAAAAATGGATTTTTATGACGTCACAGCTTTGGTACTCTATAGGACGTGACTGTTCATATTTCAAGGGCAACTTTACAGGGGTTAAAGGGGCATGTTACCCGTATTCCAGAGGGCGCTCAAAATACGTACGCGCTGGCGGACGGCGCTATAGCTGCCTATTGACACCAACAGAATACGGCTCTTACCCAGATGGCATGTTCGGATAACTACACTGGCGGGAACATGCCCCTTTAATGTACATGAATTCCACTATATTTGTACATGTATTCCACTTAAAGCCATACTGCACCAGGAGCACGCCCTCAAAATCCCCGCTAGTGCCATCTCAGGTGAGCTGTAGCAGTATGGTCCCGTGAATCGCTGCTTCCCTAGATGTCCTGTTGGTTGTCGCATCTAGTCCTTTGTCTGTTGAGTGGGTTACGCTCTGTTCTCAAGTTGAAAATAAGATGGCGTTGTGCAATAATCGGTAGCAGAGCCATCTATACACAGAGTTTGGCCAACTTGGTTGTGTGCTTGCCCAACAAAGCAGCAGTCACCATATTGTGTCCAACTCGAACCGGGTTGGCCAAACTCTTATTCCAAACCTGTAGAGAAATAAATACATAATCAACTAATGTCGTTGGATTGTTGTACTTGGCTGTTTGTGATTAAATATGTAGTGACGTGAAGTACAAGCACTACTAATTCATTGCGAGTCTTAAAACAACAACGTCAAATATTTATCGTTAGTGTACAAAGTATATACTGTATTTATATGCTCTAGAATATGCCTACATATGCATTCACTCCTGAGTGTAAATTTCTTCATGGAAAAAGAAAGAATGTTATCCGTTGTTTCGGATTTTATTCACCACGTGCAGAGCTTTCTTTTGGAGTTTTTGTTATTTTTTATATCTAGAGGCTGGAAGGCAAAATTCCACTGCCAAAATATTTTCGTGAAAATACTTTTATCTTGATATTTTTATTGGTCTTCCTTTCCATCAATTCACTCTGAGAAAATGTTTGAAACTGTTTAACACCGACATTGGTACCTTAAAATTCTTAAAGTGTCTGGGATCTGTGCACGGAGGACCAAGCGGGAGGATGCGGGGCTTACACTGCATGCCTCTCATCCATGCCAGCTGGGACGTACATTATAACGTACATTCTCCGCAGCAGACTACGATATTGTTATGGGGGTATAGCTAAAGGAATTTCAATAAGTGAAAAACTCAAAATAAAGCAAAGAATGTCTAATACAGAGATATACATGTGTTTAAGTTCTCAATTAAATTAAGTTCGATTCTCAAACATATTTATCGCGTCAAACACTGCTCATCGAAAAAGAGCAAGCTTTTTTCTACATTTTTTATACTTTGAGGAGAAAAACACATTTTACCTGGTTACATTTCTCTCTTATATGTCGTGAAAACGGAAAAGTAATATGTAATTATCCTTCCAGACCTCGATTCTTGATGGTAAATGTCGTATTGTATTACTCTAGAGTTGATTCTAGTCTGTATTTTTTGTTGTATAGTCGCCATTTTGAGGGTTGAAAAAAATGTTTCTCTATGATTGTTGGAAAAATACATAAGGTTTTTGTTAACATTGTGCAATAACATATTATATTTTGTAACATATTAGGCCTTAAACCATATAGAAAAAACTGCCATGAAACGAAAAAAAGAGAGAAATAGCGAAACTAAGAGACTTGGGGGAAATGTAGAAATGTATATTCATATCTATTTTGCGTATATAATGAATATTTCACTATATTGAGTTTGCGTGAGTTCTTATTGCTTTGTATATAGTCTATATATTCTATCATTATGTAATATTACTGGTTTATATGTTCTTAAGTTCACTGTACATTTTATTTTGTATAAAAACAAAAGAGAGAGTTATGATGATTATGGAGAGTACATACGCTGCCTGCCTAGTACACTGTCTGGGCTGTTTCCCTGTCACGCGCCTGAGCAGCTGATAAAATAAAACACCCTCAACGCTAAAACGGAAACAGGCCTTTCTAACGGTGTATTTTGGGGGATCGCGTGATTAGTGGAGCCATTGCACTCCTTTGAAGAAAAAACAATTATGTAAAAACTACTCTCTGTAATATTTATGTACATGATGTATAGCTTGTATTGCAATTCATGAGATAATAAATGTCAAAGCCAATTTTGTAGTTATTATTATGTATGATAGTATGTTTTATTCTCTCACACACTAGATTCATGTTATATGTATATCCCATGTAGGATTTATATGACGAAGCAGGGGCGTCGCTAGGACATTTCGAATAGACGATGGTAACACACAAAAATAATGATCCAACAAGGATATATCAATTTGGTTATCAGATTTTCAAATTCACTTCTAACAATCAATAGAGTAAAAAAAAAATCAGCATCAGTTTGGCGATATGCTGCCCTCATGGCTTTCCAAAACATTCCAAATCTAGCCAGTAGATAATATGGAATAGGGCGACACCTTCACGACCCCCCCCCCCTTCTAGCAACGCCCCTGTATTCTACTAGTAGATCAGATGCAGAATATTGTGTTTGAGTTGTTTTCAGAACATTGTACCAGTAGAATTGTTACCGATAGTATCAACCAAACCAGGGCCCCGTCTTATAAAGAGTTGCGATTGATCCGAATCAATCGTAGGTCAATCGCAGGTCAATCGCAGGTCAGTCGCAAGTGTACACTCTCGTATCTCGTAATGTACATAGTTGCGATTGATATCAAGCGATTCGTCGCAAACGTTGATAAGACGGGGCCCATATTCGTCATAAGTTATTACATGTTTGTATGCATATTTCTGTATGGTTGATCGAATTGCACATGTCTGATTATGTTAAAAAAATAAACAATTTGAATTCAACACCCTATCCTTCCTCAAGGTGCTTTCTTCTAAATAATGTTTATGATGACGTGGATCCTAATCAAATGATTGGTTGAGAGCGTACATGTGACTAGGCATTTATTTTGCCTAATTTTGATAATGACCGGTCATTAGTAAAATCATGTTACTAAACATCATTTTATAAAAGAAATAAACCATAATCTTATTTGTTTATTGTGTGTGTACTAATGAAACATGGAAACAATTTAAAGTTTCTCAACTTAATAGAGCTGGTGTTAAATGATCTTCATGTATATAGTCAGGAGGAGTTCAAAGTTCGCTACACCCACGCCCCCCCCCCCCCCCCCCCTCCCGATTAGTTTGTTTCCCTTTAGGAACTCCACCAGACAGAAAGAGAAATCATTATGCATTTTAGAAGTAATCACTATACTCGCATTCACTCTTTTCTTCGATAATGTCACTGTGAGGAAGTGTCGGACTACATTCCCTTTTGTTTCAACACACAAAGAGATTAAAATGTCCCCAAAAAATCTTCAAAAGGTATGATTCGGGAGGGTCTTCTCTTTTTAGAGGACCTAAAATAATTACGATGTCCATTATATATATTCAATAGTGCCCCAAGGGAGAAGGCACTTAGGAGAAAAAAGAAATTAATTATATTTTTGTTCACGACGAAACGGGAAGTTGCCCCACGACTACGTCACAACCCACTTACCAAATTAGGCTGTATATAGCTTATGTATATATGGCTCTGTCTTATGCTCATACGCTGCCGTTTGATATGGAAGTGCCATGTACGGCACTGATATGGCACTGTGCTCATAGATTGACGAGCGCCAGCCGCGTTGATCTATATAACTCGAGATTTGACAAAGATATGAAATCAATAAACCGGCAATAGAAGTAAGAAAGATATGATCTTTCATTTTGATGCCATAGTGATCTGAAGCCATAAAAAACCTGGTAATTCTCGTTAATCAATAATAAAATCCTACTAACAACGAAATTTCTCCCTTCTGGTGTTCCTTACCAATAACACAATATTGATGGCAATGGATGTCTATTAGCTCAAGAGAATAAATAAACATTCAAACAAACAAAAGTACAACATACTGTTTATCAGGGTCAACGAATTCAGTTTATTGGATGTTTCCCATGACAATAATTGTTTCATTAATGCACTTTTTAAAGATTAAATTGAGTCCTGGGTCATGCGATTGCATTGTACGAAGTACCACGTTCTGTTTATCAGGGTCAACGAACTTTTAATAGATAGAATAGTTGATGTTTAATTCATTAACTCTCTCTCTCTCTCTCCTGTCGCTACCTCTTTTTATCTCCTCTTTCATTACAAATTAACAAGTTCCGATATATTTTACGCCATCTCGTCCGCATATACTTTATTCGTCAATATTCTCAGTGCAGGAAGTGCTTTGAATATTCCATGGATCCCCTCCCCCCTCTCTCTCTCTCTCTCTCTCTCTCTCTCTCTCTCTCTCTCTCTTTCTCTTTCTCTCTCTCCCTCTCTTTCTCTCTCTCTCTTTCCCCTCTCTATTTCTCTATATTTATTTCTCTCTCTCTCTCTATCATAATGCATAATTTAGAATACAATGAACTTTTTACCATATTTATAAAGTATTGCGGACAAATTATTTATAAGTTTTTAACAAATTGGATACTGAGAACGAGTGTTCAGGATTGTTGAATTTATCTTCATTTTCGAACAAAAGTTCGTTTTTAGTTGCGTATCCTGGTATCGGTATAAGCAATATTTCTAGACTCTAATTTTGGTTAATGACTTTCATTAACTTAAGTACTGCATAATTATCATCTTTCTTTGCCAATCAACACTTGAGAGTAGAAATTT